AGATCCTGAAAAAAATATTAAAAATTTTGTTTTGTTCAAATTGTTCATTAGGTCATCGAGAAAAAAAATTAAATTGATATTTTAAAGGAATTTGCACAATCGAAATCGAGAAAAATCGGAAACGAACTTAAAAGATTAAGCCGAGGTAAGGCAAAGATAGCGAAGAAAGAGTAACAGGAAGAGAGATAAAGCAGAAATGAGGAAGAAAATAAAGCGAAGGACATGAGTGGACAAGGAAGGTTTGTTTTGTTTGTTTGTTTACATGAGTCTTTTCTTGCTTTCTTGTTTGTTTTTTTGTTTGTTTCCGGGAGTGAATAGGAAGAAACGGAAATAAATGTAAATTAAACGAAGAACTGAGGATAGAAAACGGGAGGAGGAGGAGGAAGAAGAGAGGAGGAGGAGGAGGAGGAGGAGGAGGAGGAAGTTGAAAATGAATGAAGTTAAGTGGAAGAAGAAACAGGTTTGGAGAGGAAAACCCGATTGTTTCCTTATTTCACTCTCTCCTTCTTGGTCTTATCTTTTTTTCTCTCTTTCTCTCACTTTCTCTTATTCTCTTTCCTTTCTCTTTCTTGTTATCTTTATTTGTTTCCTTCTTTTTATTTTTCGTATGTCTCCATTCTTTCGGTATTTTCCTTTATCTGTATCTCTCTTACATTTTTGTCTTCCTTTGTGTGTGTATCTATTTTCAAGTCTCTCTCTCTCTCTCTCTCTCTCTCTCTCTCTCTCTCTCTCTCTCTCTCTCTCTCTCTCTCTCTCTCTCTCTCTCTCTCTCTCTCTCTCTCTCTCTCTTTTTGTGTATCTATATAAAGCAGGAAGATGAGACACCGAAGGATGGAAAAACGAAAATAAAAAGAAAAAAAATAAGCATGAAAGAAAGAACAGGAGAAAGGGAAGAATGAAGGGAGAGAAATGTGAAAGACATAGAAACTGATATAGAGGGAGAGGTAGAAATGGAGAATGGGAGGAAAGTAAGAAGGGAGGGCGAGAGAGTTGAAGAGAGAAGGAAAATAAAGTAGAGAAGCAACAAAAAATAAATAATGTAGAGAGAGAGATAGAGAGAGCTCAGAGTGCAATAAATGTAGTTTGGAACGAAAGGCATGGAAGGAAGATGAGAAGAATCGAGTAGCGAAGGAGAGAGAGATCGAGGGAGGGGTGGAGGGAGACAGGTTACACCCCCCCCCCTTCCTCTCCTCTCGCCCACAGCCCTGCCTCCTCGCCCTCCCCCCCCCCCCCTCAAGCCGTCACCTTCACAACGGAAGAGAAAACTGTATCACTCCAGGCTCTGACAATGACCTTCAAAGTTCTAGACTCTCGTGTGTGTGTGTGTGTGTGTGTGTTGTGTGTGTGGTGTGTGTGTGTGTGTGTGTGTGTGTGTGTATTATTTGTACACCCGCTTGCCTATGTGCGTTTTGTATGTATATGGATGTGCGTTTGTACGTGTACATGTGTGTATACATGTTCGTTTGGGTGTGTAGATCTAGGTGCAACGAAGTGTTGGTGTACATGTAGATGTAACTGTACGTGAGTGGGTTATGCATGTGTAATAAGTCTGCTTTTACACCTTATACGTGTAGATACTTGAGATACGTGTTACTGCGTGTTTGCTTGTAAGGAAATGTACACTCTATCGTTCCTACTTGCGAAGGTATCCATGCACTGTATGTAAATGTACACACCCGCACGTGTCAGTCTACGTGTGTATATCCACGCATGCGCCACTCGGACACGGAAACAACCCCATTGGTACTTTAACGCGTATCCAAGTGCCGTTTCCTACACCTGAGACACGACATCTTTCCCCGTGTTTATAGTTCTACCTGCCCGTGTGGAGGTTTACCTGTCGGCGGCTTGCAATAACTCCGGAGGCTTGCTTTGGCCAAAACGCAACGGCAAGCCAAGCCATTATTTTTCACCTCGCTACCTGCAGACCCGCCGGTGACTTTGGAAACTCGTGAAAGCTTGTTTAACCTTGGTCTCTCTGCCGGCCTGGGCTCGTGTTTACACTCTCTCTCTCTCTCTCTCTCTCTCTCTCTCTCTCTCCTCTCTCTCTCTCTCTTCTCTCTTCTCTCTTCTCTCTCTCTCTCTCTCTCTCTTCTCTCTCTCTCTCTCTCTCTTCTTCCTCTCTCTCTCCTTCTCTTTCTCTTCTCTTCTCTCTCTTCTCTTCTCTTCTCTTCTCTTCTCTCTTTCTTCTTCTCTCTCTTCTCTTCTCTTCTCTTCTCTCTTCTCTTCTCTCTTTCTTCTCTCTCTTCTCTTCTCTCTCTCTTCTCTTCTCTCTTCTCTCTCTCTCTCTCCTCTCCTCTCCTCTCCTCTCTCTCGTGTTATATTGTATTGCAATATCATTTCTCTTATTTCGATTTTTTTCTTTTCTTCACTTCCCTATTTTCTTTCCTTCTCTCTCTTCTGCTTCTCTGCTCTCCTGCTTCCTCTCTCATCTCTCTGATTGATTTTCAGTGTATGTTCCTGCTCTCTTGTTTTTTCTTCTCTTTCTTCTTTTTCTTGAAAGAGAGAGAGAGAGACGAGAGAGAGAGAGAAAGATGGAAAGAGATAGGAAAGAGAAATAGATAGATAGATAGAAAGAAAAATAGCATAGATAGATGAAAGAGAAAGTAGATAAGATAGAAGAGAAATAGATAGATAGATAGAAAGAGAAAATAGATAGATAGATAGAAAGAGAAAGAGATAGATAGAAGAGAGATAGAGAGCAAAGAGATAGATAGAAAAGAAGATAGATAGAAGAAAAGCAGATAGATAGAAAGATAAAGAGAAGATAGAAAAGAGACAGGAGATAGAAATAGAAAGAGAAAGAGATTAGATAGAAAGAGAAAGAGATAGATAGAAAGAGAAAGAGATAGATAGAAAGAGAAAGAGATAGATAGAAAGAGAAAGAGGAAAGATAGATAAGAAAAAAAGAGAAAGAGAAAGATAGATTAGAAAGAGAAAGAGAAAGATAGATTAGAAAGAGAAAGAGAAAGATTAGAGAGCAAAAGAGAAAGAGAAAGATTAGATAGAAAGAGAAAGAGAAAGATAGATAGAAAGAGAAAGAGAAAGATAGAAATAGAAAGGATAGAAAAAGAAAGAGAGAGAGAAGGAGCAAAGAGAGGTTGTTTCACAGAGCCTTTTTTTCAATAGAGAGCTACCCCCCCCCCTCTACCCTCCTACCCTACTCCTGCCCTAACCGCCCCTCCCTTTGAGACCCTTCACCCTAAGGAGAGAAAAGAGGGGCGCTTTCCCCAAGGGAGGGTTTTTTAGACTATCGTTTCCTAAGGAGTTTTTTTTCTCCCTTTCTCTCTTCTTTTTCTTTTCCCTCTTCCTTCTTTCTCTTTTCCTTCATCCCTTCTTCCTTCTCTCTCAACTTTTTATGTCTCTTTCTTCCTGGCTTCCTTCCTCTCTCTCTTCCTCCATTCTCTTTTCCTTTCATCCTCCCTCCTTCCCTCTTTCCTCTATTCTCTGTTTCCCTCATCCTCCCTTTCCTTCTCCCCCTCTCCTCTATTCCCCTATTCGCGCCCCTTTAACTTCTTAACGTCTTTTGCTCCACTTCCCCTCTTCCCTCATCTGCTTTTCCTTTCCCCCCTTTCCGGCCTCTGTTCTCATACCGGTCTTTCCTCCTTCCTCATTCAGCTTCTTTCCTCCCTCTTTCATCCCCTTTCTCCTTCCACCTATTATCACCTCCCACTCCCATTTCCCTCTCTCCCAATCTCCTTCTTAACCCCTCTTCTCTTTCCTCTCTTGCTCTTCTTTACCCTCTCTCCTTCCCTTCTTCCCCTTCCTCTTCCCTTTCTTTCTTCATCCTCTTCCCCCTCTTCCTTTCTACCTCTTCTTAACCTTCTTACCCTCCTTACCTCCTTTCTTCCCTCTACCTCTCTTACCCTTCTTACCTTTCCCTCTTCCCCTCTTCCCCTCTCCTCCTCTCCCCTCTCCCCTCTTACCCCCTCTTCTCCCGCCCCTCTCCCGTCCCCTCTCCCTCTTACCAGCCCCTTCCCCTCTCCCCCCTTCCCCTGTCCCCCTCTCCCCCCTCTCCTCTCTCCCCTCTCCCCCTCTTACCCACTTCCCTCTCCCCCTCTTCCCCTCCAAGAGAACCTCAATTTTTTTCAGATACCGTTAGTTTCCCCTCGAGAGACCTGTTTTATTTGAGCTGCCTAATTGGACAAAAACCACTGCATATTTACCTCAATTCAAGAAGGCAAGGTAGTCGTCTTACCCATTAGGGAGGGAAGGGAAGTTGGGTAGGGATTATTGGGGTGAGGGAGGGAGGTGAAGGAATGGGGAGGGCGTTGGGGTGGGGTTGAGGGAGGAGGGCCCGAAGGGGGGGGATGGGGTGGGTGGGGAGGAGGGTGAGGGTGAGGGGGGGAGTAGGAGGGAAATGGTGGTGAGATGAGGGAATGGGGGGGAATGGGGAGAAGGAGTGTGGGGAAGGGATGGTGGAGAGGTGAGGGTGTAGAGGGATGGAGATGGCGAAGGAGGGAATGATGGAGCGGAGGGTCTAGTGAGGGGAAATGGAGGAGAAAGGAAGGTTGTAGAGTGGGGAGGGGAGTGCTGGAGGGATGAGGTTATAGAAGGAGGGGAAAGGATGAGGGAAATAATACCAAAATAAGGGAAATAGAGAGAAAAGGAGGTTTACCAGGAAGGGGTGGGTGAGGGGGGGATCGGTGACGAGGAGGGGGGGGGGGGTTAGGGAGTNGGCCGAGAAGGGACGAGAGACGAAGAGAGAGAGAGAACGAGAGAGAGAGAGAGAGAGAGAGAGAGGAAGAGAGAGAGAGAGAGAGTGAGAGAGAGAGAGAGAGAGAGTGAGTGAGGAGAGTGAGAGAGAGAGAGAGAGAGAGAGAGAGAGAGAGAGAGAGAGAGAGAGAGAGAGAGAGAGAGAGAGAGAGAGAGAGAGAGAGAGAGAGAGAGAGAGAGAGAGGAGAGAGGGGGGGGACGAAAAGGCATTGAGAAGTAATACATGAGTTACCCCTAAACATTTTCTTTGGTCAAGTTATTCTTAGATATGTAACCGACGACTTAATGTGTAGCAACATGATGAGAACGATGGATAAAAGAAGAAAGAAGATGATGGATTTAGAACAATTTCATCACTACCTGACGATGAGCTAGATTGATATCCCACATAAGCTGAATACAGGTAAAAGAAGAATTTGATTTATTGCTTGTCTTTTGAATTTCCTTCATATTTTGGCTATTTATAATCTTTGAGATATTTTTTTTTTATTGGGAAATTTTCTGTAAGAGGGAGAAGTTTTGAGAAAAAAATTGTCAAAAGTGTCTTTAGAGCCCAAGAGCATGACCATGTTTGACCTTATTTTCTTCAATCCTGCAGCCAACCCAATGCCAGGGCGCTCTGACTCGCCAAAGATAAGGGGACGCCTCAATAGTAAGTGTGAGACAGAAAGTGTGACTTCTGACATCTTGGAAGAACAGAAAGATGGTGATATGGGCTTGGATGCATCAGAACCTCCAGAACAAAGCCGTCCTAGCACGCCAGAAGTCCAGGTGTGTGAGGAAAATAAAGAGGACTTGCAGAAAGACTCACAGCAAGATAGTGAAGAAGCAGAGAGGAATGAGGAGGAGGAGGAGGAGGAACAAGAGGAACAGGGGGAAGAAGTAGACACATTAGCTCCCAGGGTGAAAATTGGTGCAAATAGACAGATCATTCTAGATGAGACGAGCCTGAAGATCCGAACGACAGCTGCCAAGAATAGGGATGAGATACTAAGCAAAGCAGAGGTTGTGGAAGAAAGCAACGACTCCAGCCACTATGGGAAGTGGAACAAGAAGAGGAAGCGGTCCTCCCTTTGAACAATGAAAGAGACGGCTAGGTTCTATAAGGCCCTCTCCACCGTAGGTACTGACTTCTCCCTGATGGAAACCTTGTTTGCCTGGAGGTCAAGGGCTGAGCTGAAGACCAAGTTCAAGAAAGAGGAACGTAGCAACAGAGTATTAGTTGATAAAGCCCTTCAAGACTCCACCCAGTTTGACTTCTCCTTGCTTGATATTGAGTCTGGTAAAGATTTAGAAAAAAAAATGCTATAATATTTTTTTGTTTTTTGTTTTTCCGTTTGTAGACATATCTAAAATGTCTGTATTACCTCTGTAAAAAGATGAATTATGACAATGGCTGTTCAATAATGTATTCTAATATTTTAAGAAAAAGGTGGAGAGAAAGGAAGAGAAGAATATATTTTTGGTTATACATATACTGGTGCTTTATTAATGAGGTAATATTTTGTGGATTATGACCCAGAAGAAGACAGAAAGGCATGCAAAGCTTAACGAGAAGAGGCCAAACGCAGACGGCTGGAAATCAAACAAGAAGAGAAAGCGCGGACAAAGGAGGAAAAGCAGAAAATTAAGGCACACAGATCATTTTTAAGAAGAAAAAATATATATATAAGAGAGATCTGCTGAAGAAAAAGAAAAAGAAGAGTCCAGTGTCAAAAGTTATCATTTAATGAATTAATATATATGCTGGTACTTTTATTGCTTTGATATACCACTATTAAAATCTCTCAATCTTTCTTACCTTGCCACACTCTCTCCCTCTCTTTCACCCTGTCACACTCTCTCCCTCTCTTTATCTCATATGTGGCTCACATCATATTTCTCTCTGTCTTTTGCTTTTACTTTTTTTTTTTATCTATCCTTCCTTTCTCCTAATTTTCTCAGCTATGATTATGGATTCCTCAACTCCCAGACCCACTAACAGGATAGTCTGTGCTTGGACGGCCATGAAGAAAGTGGACACCATACTTATGGCGCGTTCGGAACTGCTCGTCTATCTTGTCCAGACCAGTTGGACGAGATGTTTTGACCGTTCGGAACCTCCACTATCTCGTTCCGGACAAGTAGTCTAGCTCGTCCAACTCGCCCTACTGCGAAGGTGGCCGAGCAGGACGAGATGACGTCACAATAGATTTTGCATGTAAACATTGACAGTTGCAGATAACCACAAGATATTGGTGGGTAATTTTATGGCCCTTTATTGGTGTTATCAAAGGATATTTTTGTGTTTCTCAGTTGTAGGTAAGTTAAATATACATCAAAGGAGTTACAAAACCTATGCAGCGTGTAAAATAAAGACCGGTATGATGAAAAAGTGAATGTTTACATTCGAGCCGGTTGCATTTTGGGCAGAAAGGGTCTTGGAGATTTCGAACGCGACCCACTTGTCCTGCTGGTCCTGGACAAGATGTCTGGACGAGCAAGACGAGCAGTTCCGAACGCAGCATTTTCCATCACAAAACAACTTATATCATACCTCCCTTACAAACCACTGTCCCGTGCACATTTATTCGCATCTTTCTTCGCCGCTGGATCACAGTGATTTCAGTCTACTTCTCCCCTTCCCATCCCATTGACTTTGTTGTCTTTGAAACTCTAATTTCCTAACTCCAACCACCTTTCCTCGTAGTTGGTGATTTCAACTGCCGCCAGACTCTGCGGGGTGCCTCTATCACCACCTCCCGAGGCCGATCCCTAGAACGGTTTCTCTCCACAAATAACCTAATTATTCTTAATTCAGATCGCCCAACACACTTTGACATGCGCACACGATCCTTTTCATATCGTGACCTCTCTATATGCTCCCCTACTTTTCATTTAAATTCCCATTGGTCAGTTCTTGACCACTTCCCAGTACTCCTTTCTCCTACTTCGTATGCATTACTTCCTAATCCCCCACGCTGGTGCTTTGATAGAGCTGACTGGCGTACTTTCACTTCACTCTCTACTATATCTATCCCTCAATCTCTCTTCCCGCTCACTTCAGATATGCTACAATGCTTTACAATAACGATCCTAAGAGCTGCTTTTACAGCCATTCCTCGAACCTCAAGACCTTCTACCTCTAAATGTGTTCCATGGTGGAATTCTGATTGCACCAAAGCGCTTCGTTTAAAACGAGCAGCCTGGAACAGCTATCGCTACAAACGAGGCACCCCTAACCAGCTATCAGACCTTTTCTCCTTTAAAAGAGCATCTGCCCATCTTCGCGGTACAGTCAGAAACGGTAAAAAAAAAAAAATAGCTGGGAAAATTATGTTTCCTCAATTACATCTACATCTATTTCAGCTGTTTGGCGTCGTATCCATAAATTACCAGGCAACCCCCCCCCCCCATCCAGCCCCCGTCCTCCATATTCGAGATACTCTCATCTCTGATCCTACTCAAGTAACTAATAAACTGGGCGACTATTTCAGCCAGGTCAGTAGTGGCTCACCTTTCCCCACTCTCTTCTTCCATTAAGGCCATCAAGGAACGCACCCCTATCACCTTTACTCTATCCTCTGATGAGTCCTATAATGCTCCGTTTTCTTCTTCTGAACTCAACGCTGCATTACAGTCGTGCCGCAACACTCACGAAGGCCCTGACGGTATTCACTATCGTATGCTCCGACACCTCCCATCTTCCCCTCTAACCTTCCTTTTAACTATTTTCAACCACATATAGACATCAGGAAATCTTCATTCTCATTAACGAGCTCTTATCCTACCGTTCTTAAAACCTAATACATCAGTTACCTTCCCTCAAGATTACCGCCCCATCGCTCTAACTAGCTGCTTGTGCAAGCTACAAGAAAAAATGGTTAACCCGCTTAATGTGGTATCTTAAATCTCATAATCTCTCCCCTTCCCAGTTTGGTTTCCGCCGTGCCCGAAGTACAGCAGACCCCCTTTCCCATTTCGAGACATATATTACATCTGCATTTGCACGCCATGAATCCGTATTAGCCCTATTCTTTGACCCAGAAAAGGCATATGATACCACATGGCAGTACCATATTCTCCAACAATTGTCCTCCCTAGGTATCCGTGGAAACATATGTCTCCATAAAATCTTTCCATTCCAAACGTACTTTCCAGGTCAAAATTGCCTCTTCCACGTCATCATCATTTCCTCAGTTCGATGGCGTCCTACAGGGAAGTGTGCTTAGTACTTTATTCCTTCTTGCTGTGAATGACTTGTCTCCGTCCTACCACCAGGAGCCCGGACATCACTATATGTTGATGACTTCACCATCTACGCCTCTGGCACATTCATACCAGATCTCCGCCAATTCCTTCAGTTCGCAAAAACATCAGTATCTTCTTGGGCCACTAACCATGGCTTTCGCTTCTCTACCTCCAAGACTTTCTCCACCCTTTTCTCTCGCTCCAGTTGAGAGCCTGTATACTGAGTCTGGCATGCCATCCCTCTCTCGACGTCGATCCCTTCTATCTCTCCGATGCTATGCTCAATTTCACTAACTCTCCCTTGCCAAACTAACTATCCCACAATCCGTGCTTCCTGCCTTTACCTCTTCTCCACGTTTACCTACTCCTTTCTCTGTACGCTTGGATACCTTCCTCTCTCATTCCCCCTTTCCTCACCTCCGACCTCTCCCACTGTCTGTCCATTCCATTCTTCCATGGTTTATACCTCACCCCTGTATTTGTCCCTCTGTTTTCCCTGACCCACCAAAATCAGATATCCCCCCTTCTATCCTTCTCACTCATTTCCTTGACCAGCATTCATGTCTACACTGACGGTTCCAAATCCACCTCAGGAGCTAGATTCGCAGAAACCTTCCCAAACCGCACTTTCAAATACACCCACCCTCCTGAATCTAGTGTGTCCTTAATACAAAACTGTATGCACTCCTTTTTGCCATAAGACGCATATACTCACTACCTTCCTCCTCTTTCACTATTTTTACCGACTCCCGTAACTCATTAACCCTCATAAAGTCTATGCACTCGACCAATCCTGTTGTCTGTAAGATCCAGAAGTGGTTGTTCTATCTGTCCACACGCCATAAATCTGTCAGATTTTACTGGGTGCCCAGACATGTTGGAATCCCTGGCAATGAACAGCCAGATATTCTACCACGCTATGCCGCCATGTCCACATCACCTCAACCACGATTCCCACATATTCCACTTTAAAACCTTGTGTACCCGATGGCAATCTTTCTGGTCAAGCCTCCACAATAATAAATTAGATACTGTAAAACCATCAATCTCCTCTTGGTCAGCTCCATTTCGCCGGAACAGACGTTGGGAGACGGGCCTCGCACGCTTACGTATTGACTACACCCGCCTAACACATGTCTATCTAATGCCACGCTCTGACCCACCGCTATGTCCCCTATGTAATGTCCCTCTTTCAGTTCCACATGTACTGTTGTCCTGCCCACGCTTTATTACAGCCCGCACCTCTGCTTTCCCCCACCTATCCTCCCTTCACCGACCTCCCAACATATCAGACATCCTTACAGAATCCCACAGCTTCTGCCTTGACAACCTGTTCTCCTTCCTCAGACGCATAAATATCCTTCACTTGATCTAATTCCCTTACCCAAATCACCATAACCCCTTCCCTCACAAATCCCTTGCCCATCTTCAACCTCTCAACATTACTCTAGATGGTTGACGCATAGCAACTATCACCTTCCTATAGAGCTATATGACCTTAGATGTCTAGCACATTTATTTCGCTTTTAACCATTAACCATTAATATAATATGAATATAAAAAACTTTCTCAAATGGCATTATTCTAACATATTCTGGGAGAGAATGAATAGATGAAATTTACTTGATTGTTTTTGAGGGATGAATTTTAGAAATAACGTTATTCACGTTTTGCAGTTTGGTGAATTTTCTTTTCTTTTCTTTTATAATATTTACATTTTATTACACCTATGGAAACACAAAATCACAGTTGACAATACTCTATATCCCATTCCAGGATACTGTACGTTATTCAGCTACATAAAATTCTCCAGAAATATTTTAATGCAGAAATGCAAGTAGTAGCAAACCATGTTTTCAACTGTGATAGTATTTTTTTTTTTTTTTTTTTTTTATGAATCAGTACATATGTACTCCATACATTCGCAACCTATGGGGTAAAGACAGACTACTAACTGCTCGTCATCCTACCTTCTTTTCCATAATACTTAAGATGAAGATGAAAACAGCCATAACAAAATTTGAAAATAAACGTAACGTTTCGAAATCTTCACGAGTTCCTCTTAAGATGTTTTTATGGTGTGTTTTACTCTTTTACTTCTTCACACTGTTCTGATACTTGTCCTTTGATACTGCTCTTAACAACGTACTATCATCACTACTTTTTTCCATTATCTTAAGGAAGGCTGAGTTTCCCCGGCTGCAGTCAAAAGAACAGGTGAAATACAAAACTTTGTCAGTTCTTCCTTCTTTCTAAAATGAAAGGGAACCCAATGTAGAGTTGGCAACCCAAACCTTTGTCGCAAGATTTGCTGTAACTAAATCTCACCGTGAAATCTACGTGTTTTGCAACTGATTACATATTTGTTTCCTTCATCTATTGATTAAGAAAATTGCCAAAAAATAACGTAATATAACTTACCACAAATATACTCTTAATATCCTCACACTAACTGCAAAATATACTTACGATATACCCAGATATACCATAATCTACCTGAAATACCCACTCATTCTCTTAAGTCAGTTCTTAAACTTTCTCTCCATTCCTTGTCCCAGTACTGAAGGAGAGTCACTACCCCCTTCGTGGCGGCCGACCAATTGACCGAGGGACATATAAATTCAGGCAAAATTGAGTGTCTCTGTGTGTGTAGCAGTTGTAGTAACACAGTATACATCTTCAATGTCATCATTTCTGACATTACTTTGTATTTCTTCTTTCACTGATAGATGCCTTATTACAATATTTCTGCAGTATCAGATCTGGCTTCTGTCACATATATCTCAAAGCAGGTCAGTGGTTGGACAAAACATAGGTAATATATATTCTTATCGGTTTATATTATTAAGATAATAGTTTGACTTATAACATCGCCGGTTTTTCAAGCATTCGTTTTTCTAATTCACATTGGCACACTATAGATACCCTTAACTAGATGTCGGAATAACTATGTTTTGTTCAACTTACAGGGTGCTTAATTTCTCTTTAAGTTCTTCTGACTTAAGAAATAACGGTTTCCATTAAACAGGCTGTCTCATTTGAAAATCGAATTTACTAAAGGGTTTATCAACGTTATTAATTCTGATATTACTTTGTCTTTTTTCTTTCTCTGACAACTGCCTCTTTTCTACAAAATTTCTGCAGTATCAGATGTGGCCATGATGAAGAATAGATATAGGAAGAATCAAAAACAGATATGTATTTAACGTAGACATACTGTGAATCAACGTAATTAATAAATTTATGCAATTCCATTTACAGTGTATGTTCGAGCTTTTAAAGATAAAAGAACCGGTCAAGCTGGTGAGGCGTACTGAGTTTGATAGATTAGGATGTTAATAATTTTATAGTTGATTTAAGTGACAGAGACCTTTACCCCGAATGAATGGCCTTCCTAAACTCTAAACATAGAGAGGATTTGAGCACATGATTTATTCGTAGATGTTAATGATCAATAGTTCAAATATGCTCTTGAGCTCTTCCCCGCAGTAATTTCACAGTCCAAGTTATAGTAATCAGAGACTGATACACGAGATACAAACAAGCTTTGTTGAACTGTCCGAATCGCTATTGGACCATGTGTCACTTCCAGCTCAGTCAAGAATAATGGTTATTCTACACACACACACACACACACACACACACACACACACACACACACACACACACACACACACACACACACACACACACACACACACACACACACACACGCACACACACGCACACACACACACACACACAACACACACACACACACACACACACACACACACACACACACACACACACACACACACACACACACACACACACACACACACACACACACACACACACCGACGCACGGACGCATACACGCACCCTTTTGTACACACACACACACACACACACCGACGCACGGACGCATACACGCACTCTCTTTGTCTCTGTCTCTGTCTCTCTGTCTGTCTGTCTGTCTGTCTGTCTTCTCTCTCTCTCTCTCTCTCTCTCTCTCTCTCTCTCTCTCTCTCTCTCTCTCTCTCTCTCTCTCTCTCTCTCTCTCTCTCTCTCTCTCTCTCTCTCTAACTGATGACCGTACTAGGTTAGGGGACGAGTGAAGATTGTACATTAAATATTTTATCTTGCATGAATAGATGCAGTGTACTCTATATTTTTTTCATGCAGAAGCTAAAGTGGTCTAGGAGGTAATTGCTTTTATGATTGAATTCTCTAGCCTTTTCCTCTAAAATTAGAATCTTTTCTCCAGTTTTTTTCGAAGTATATCACACAGATCAGATCTCAAACACCTGAACTCACTTTAGAGTACAGAGAATTGCAAATCGTAACCAACATACAATCAAATCACAGGTTCTCCGAGAGAGTCGATAATGAAGTATACATAATGATTATAAATTATTTGTCATTACCGATCCTAAAGTACTTTCGGAACCAAATCACAGGCAAAAAACATATATTACTGCAGTTTCGATAGCTGTATAGCTTTATGTATTACCCTTTGCTAATGAGTATCGTATGTACTGGACCAGGAATATGCAAGAAACAGAGAGATTGTCATTTGTGCCTCTAAATGTGCGGTACATATTCTTTGTGTTCTTATACTCATTGTAAAGTGTAGTTTGCCTCTCCCTCTCCTTTATTTAAATGTCTTTATGTCTAACCTGAACTATGCTAGCGTGGTAGGGTATGGCCCACCCTCTCCCCATTATGATAAACGTCTCATGCAACAATAAGGCGAATTTCAAAAGCAGTGGCATCAGAGGACTGGAGACAGGACGGCGTGGAAAAGTCTGTGTTAAAGAAAAGGTCTTGGCCATGAGCAAGCGTTTTCTTCATGTAATTTCTCATGTGATGTTTGTCTTTGATACAATGTTATATGTTAATGAACATGTAATTCATGTGTCTCTGTCTATACATACATACACAGAAGAGGAATGAAAAAATAGGGAGCATTGGTTAGCGAGAGAGAGAGAGAGAGAGAGAGAGAGAGAGAGAGAGAGAGAGAGAGAGAGAGAGAGAGAGAGAGAGAGAGAGAGAGAGAGAGAGAGAGAGAGAGAGAGAGAGAGAGAGAGAGAGAGAGAGAGAGAGAGAGAGAGAGAGAGAGAGAGAGAGAGAGAGAGAGAGAAGAGAGAGAGAGAGAGAGAAGAGGAGAGAGAGAAAGGGAGAAAGAGAGCGAGAGAAAGAGAGAAAGAGAGAAAGAGAGCGAGAGAAAAAGAAAGAAAGAGAAATTCAGTAATACATGAGTAATCCCTAAACATCTTCATTCATATCCATTTTCTTTGGTTCAATCGCTCCTAGAGACCTAGATATGTAACCGACGACTCAATGTCTAGTAACATGATGAAAATATGAGGGATTTTGTACACAATTTCATCACTACCTGACGATGAGCTAGATTGATATCCCACATAAGCTGAATACAGGTAAAAGACGAATATCCTTTGCTATTTGATTTATTGCTTGTCTTGTGAATTTCCTTCATAGTAATAGCTATTTATATCCTTGAGATCTCGCTTCTCGCCGACGGTCGAAAATCCAGCATTTTGCCCATGCAGGACTTTTTATTCTTCTCTTTCACCTCTTTGGATACTTTTAGGCATAGATTTCACTCTGAAATAGTTTTGTCGATTTGGATATCCAAAATTGTGCGAGGCCCGACCTAGTGAATATTCTCTAAACGGACGCATATACACAGAAATAGATATATGTATATCAGTCTAGACATGCACATCTACTGAACAGATTAATAAATAGACGTATACCTAACAGATAGATAGACAGATAAGCATTTATTTCTGTGTACAAGCATGCTTGTATATGTAAATATTAATTGGGTCAGGCCTTCAACAATTTTAACAAACTGACCGAAAGGGTGTGAGGGAATGAGATGGAGTTTTGGAAAGAGCAAGGAGGGAGGGAGTGTGATGGGGAGGAAAAGGAGAGAGACAAGACACAGACACTGACACAGTCAGATAGACACTCAGACACAAAAGGACACAGACAAGCAGATGGACAGACAAACAGACAGAGATGGATGGTCAGACAGAGAAACAG